ATTTATTTGCAGCGTGCTATCATTTTACAGATTTTTTGAAGCGTTGCTTGCTTCTTCGCGATTAAATACGTTCAGATTTTTGGTAGGTGATCATTAATGGCGAAAAATGAATCAAATTGACATAGGCGGGGATAACGATTGTTATAATCGTTATAATATAATATGTAATATATATAATATATATAATAATATATATTACATAATAATAATAATAATATTATATATTATATTATATAATAATAATATATATAATATATATAATATAATTGTTATAATCGTTGGCAAATGACGAAAAACAAGTCAAATTGCAAAAGAAGCGGATAGAAATTTAAACAGAAATTATTCAAATTGTTTAAATGGTTGATTGTCGCAGAGGAATATGTAAAACCGTGCACAGAAAGATCGGAAAAATTATAGAACCGAGTGGCCGACTGAATAATTCTTTGAAACCGTGCGGAATCACGCGTTCCGCGAACAGCGAAGGGTTTAAATAATTCTGGAACACAGTTGCCGATCTCACGGCAAGTAGTCCCGGAGTTATCGATTATCCATCGAATCCGTGGAGTTGTTTCATCAATGGGAACGCGCAGCACTGCCTACGAAGATCGTCTTCGTCTGGTGGATGATCCCGATCCCCGGTGCATTTAAGCGACGTTACATACAAGTCGGCTTTACGAGGGCTCAGACCCCGGGTTGCGTGCGCCGCATAAGAACAAATTTCCCGTTGCACCCGGGGTGCACGCGTTGAATTCCACGCGTAACGACGACATTTTATGGACGATTTTATTTGTTCAGCCCGTATGAACATATTTCCATGGACGTATTTATTATATTCCCCGATATCGCGTACCAGCCATAAAACGCGCACTCGTTAGGGATTCAGAACGCTCGCCCGAGCCTCATTTTCCTTTCTTTATTTCCGCTTCTGTTCCTCTCTGTCAACTCTCTACCCCTCCCGCTCGCTCCCTCTTTCTCTCTTTCTCTTCCTTTCTCTTCCTTTCTCTCCCTGTTTCTCTCTTTGTTTCTCTCTCTCTCTCCCTCTCTCTGTTTCTCTCTGAGTATTTCACTCTCTCTCTTTCTCTCTTCCCCTCTCTCTGTTTCTCTCTGGCTGTGTTTCGCTCTCTCTCTCTCGCTCTCTCTCGCTCTCACTCTCTCTTGCTCTCTCTCGCTCTCTCTCGCTCTCTCTCTTTCTCTCTGTTTGTGTATCGCACTCTCTCTCTCTCTCTCTCTCTCTCAGTGCATGTAAGTTTCTCTCTCTCTTTCTCTCTCCGTGTTTCTCTATATATACACCTATCTATCTCTCTGTACTCTCCATTATCTCTCTCTCTCTCTCTCCCGCTCTCTCTCTCCCGCTCTCTCTCTCCCTCTCCATATTTCATTATCTATCTATCTATCTATCTATCTCTCTGTTCTCTCTCTCTCTCTCTCTCTCTCTCTCTCTGTATCTCTCTCTATCCTTTGTTTCTGTCTTTCTCACTCTCTCTTTCTGTTTCTCTCTCTCTCTCTCTCTCTCTCTCTCTCTGTCTCTGTTTCTCTCACTACCTCTTTTAATATCGTTCCTTGTAACAAGTGCATCGGGTACGGCAGGCTTAATTAATGCTCGCATGTCAACAAAGACAATGGCTGTCGCACCCGTCTCGTTGAGCTGTCATTACGCGTTGCGATGTTTAAAATTTCAGCGGCTCCGCTCGGTAGCGCGATGCTATCAATGATCGTGACACCCGCATGTTAGTCTCGTCCGCGTGTGAACAGAATTATTTTACATTTTATTCCGCGCGCGCGCGCGAACGCGCACGCTCGCGGTGTCAGCCCCGACGCTATCTAATCTTCTTTCGCGTGAGCGTGACGCACTGCACCGAAAGCTTTGAATCACTCGCCGAATCAATGAACGTATTCATTATTATTATTGCCGCGTCGTTCTTGCTGCACTGGGATTGTACAGAGGCATCGTAAACACTTATAATGCACGCAGGTGCAACGTTATTAATTCGAATGCAAGGCTTCGCGCGTTCATTATGTTCGAAGCATACGTTTTTTGGCCGCTGACAATTTGCAACCAGGGAACGATTTATTTAAATCGCATTTGAAGAATGGGAGGTGAGATTCAGAATTAGCATATCAGCACAGATTATTCATAATCGGTTTAATAATCGGTGGAAAGATTCGCATCTCTAAGAAACGAATCCTTTGGATGCTCCCAAAAATGATTGATTGGAAATGTAAAATTGAGTATGTCTCATCCGAGATAGGAAAATCAAGATTCGTTTTAATATACAGAGTGTCCCAAAAATGTCTCGCGATCCGAAAGTGGCGGATTCCTCGGGTCATTTGAAGCAACTTCTTCCTTTGCAAAAATTTTCTCCGAGGCACCGTTGTGCTGGGAACATTATTTTATTGTGATTAGCTAATGAATGTGAACGTGCTGCCCTCGCTGGATCAGAAGCGAAAACAAGGGAGGATATACATAACTATTTTATGGGTTGTTGAAAACGATATTCCTATACCGTCTGATGATTGCAGAAAAACAATGTTGGCATAGACGAGCTATAATAGTGGACCTAGCAACTAATATAAATTTTTGTCACACAAAACTGGGGTTTCAGAAGCCCCCGTTCCGTGATTCTATGTGTCTATGGTGTGGCGTTCATCGTTACCGATATTACAGAAATTTCAGCTTCTTAGCGAGAATCGAGTATTCTCTATACCACGTTCGTATTATGGCACGTTTTACGATTTGGGAGCCACAAATTCATACGATGACAATGATACTTACAAAATATAACATTTTATGTGTCAAAAATTGTAGTGAATGTTTTTAATCAAAATGTAAAACTCTTTTAAAGCTGTATCTATATTATCTATAATATCTATAATATCTATAATAATAATATCTATAATATCTATAATACTATAATATCTACAATATCTATAATAATATAATATCTATAATATCTATAATATCTATAATAATATAGTATCTATAATATCTATCTATAATATCTATAGTATCTATATTATAATACATACACCATGCCTACTATTCTATTCTTTCGATACAAATTCCTGAAGTCGTAATTGTCCCTCCAACATTTATTCTATTAAAAAATCGCACCAAATCTACAATTATTTCGGTTCTAATTCTCGTCGCAAACAATGGCCACCAGAATTCGAATTCGAATTCGCCTTCGAATCCCACGGAATCAAATCGTTAAAGTACATTAAATACAAGGTTCCCATTAAATATTTATCTTTCCCAATTTGGAGATCCGTTACCACAAATCGAAGACACCATCCAAAGAAGTTGACTGCGCATTGTAAAGCGCGGGGAGGCTCGAGCTTGAAATTCAGAGGGCGCTTCTTCAAACGGTCGCAAACCTTTCAGCGACACGTGACAGGTGACATTGCACGCAGTGTAGCGATTATGGTAAATGTCATTCCTGAATGAATATTAACAAAGAGCACGCGATATTGTCTAATGTTAGTTTGTTTGTTTAAAGTTTTCGTTCAGGCCGTTGTATTTAAACGTGTAGTGAATATTGTCATATCGTTGTTATTCCCGTAACACGTCCGGGCAAGCGGACACAAACAGGATTGCGACAGCACCGTAAGTACAGATTGGTTCCATTAATATATTGTAACGACCACATAAATTTGCTCTGATGATGAATGGTGTATAATATGTGAAATTTCATTGCAATAACCATTGAATTGCAGGAATATGTGTACATGTATTTATTTAGTTGTGGAAATTTCGCAGGTTTGAATGTGTTAGTCGGAAATCTTTATTTACATAATAAGTTGGTTGAATTCTGATCGAAACGATTGTTTGTCTTTGAATTTTATAAAATTTTGCAGTCTCTTTTTGTTATGTAACAGTAGAAAATCACAACGAATATTGTGATCTATATCACTTACTTAAATAATAAATAAGCTACTCTATCGTGTCTTAAGTAACAAATGGGTATTTATCATTTAAATATATGCTTCGTTCGATAAAGAGCCTATTCTATGTTAAATTAAGTAATTAATTTGCAACGATACTTAGCTAATATACATATAATTACACATTAATATGACAGAATGGGAAGTATCTCATGATCTATGACGATGCGAATCAAGTTATAAAAAAAGGTTTTACAAAAAGCGTGCATAATACTATTCAATTAATTTCTGTTGCTTTAATGGTGTAAGGACCAGGCTCTTCCTCCTCTTTTATTTTTCTTAATCTTTGCAGCTCAACATTTCTTTTTCTATAAACAAATGTTTCATCGTTAGCACTTAAGTTACAGGAAAATGTTTGCCATAACATGCATCGACCTTTATCATTTCCGAACCATAGATATTTATGCGCTTATGTTAACTACAATCGAGTTCAATTTAAAACCGGTGGTAGAAAAAAGATTTCTATCGAAGTCCAATCTTGTAAAGCTACGGGAAGAAAATTTGATTCGACATAAACCTCCATGGTTCAGAAGCTTTGTTTATGTACGATACCTGGACTGTTCTTCCTCCTCTTCCCTTTCCTTCTTTTGCTTCTTTAAGAATCTAATTCCCACAAGAATTATTAGTAGTACAATCGGTATCAGGCAGCCAAGTATTATACCACTTGTAATACCAGCCTGACGCGAGCTATATTCCTGTTGACCTGTGATTTTCAATGAAATCGATAGCATTAATACACACAATAAGACCTATAAACAGGTTAGTAATTTTAGTAGTCTGGTGAAAATAGGTTCAAGCGCAGGGCAAGTTTGGATTATAGTTAACTTTGTTTGTATTGCAGATAGAGATTCGTCGAACAGCTACTGCCTACGGTTGTGAGAATAAATAGACAGAAAAGGAGAAAGGTTATAGGACAGAAGTAACAGAAAGCGATGAGAATAATTCCGGTGGAAATTTCCATTCCACTGAAAAATGGTTTCAAACAATGTTCTGAACATTCACTCGAGTATCTCATACGAATGCGTGTGGAATAGAAATTTCCTGAGAATTGTAAGGTATAAAAAAAGAAATCGTTTATTGAACTGTGCTCTTACATTAATCACGAAGCATCTCATACAATATAAGTGCTGTACCGAATGTTATTACAAAATTATTGCGTTTCGTAGCGCTCTAAATTTGTTCTTGTGTTCTTCGTAAAACTGATCTCAATGATACAACGGTATAACATCCAATTCACGTTGCATAATACAACCAACACATTTCTATTCCACAGCAAAGAGACAAATGCAATTTATACACATGATAAAAGAGCTAATCTTCGCGACAGGGATCTGTTTATTGTTTCCGTTCCAAATCGCGCGGGATCTTCTTTCCGAGAGGAGGATAATGTTGCATAAATATTTGTCATGAAAGATACACGGCTCCCGGTGATTAACGTGGAAAAACGCTATAAGAAAGAAATGTCTACGTACAGTTAATCTTCCTGTAAACTAAGCTGATTTCAAAAGACGCTTCTAATTAGCAATCTTTAGTCTGTCACAAAAATACGTTCTCACAAGCTTCCACTATTTTTTTATTTTTTTTTTTTGTTATAGTCTTTTCTAGCTATGGTCGTTCGAACTACAGTTTTCTCTCCTTAGCGTCGCGTGAGATTATTTCCTGTGTTGGCCGGCAAAACTTGCGTCGCGCGATTGTAGTCGAAGCAGAAGGCGGGAACGAAAATGCGACGCTATAGAGAGAGAGAGAGAGAAAACCGTAACTTGTTTCCCTGGCTCTATATTAAATTTCTCAGTTAGATAATCGTCGATCGGGGTTCTCGTTAAGGGAGGATTCTAGCGATAAGAACTATATAGAAGTAAAAAAAAGAATTGCAAATCATGATCGTTTTACACGTCGCTCTCTTTGGTGGAGCTGCCGGTTTTTCTAATCGATTCGACGGTGCTCTTTTCCGAGTCTGTCGGGGACTGGGGCTCTTTAAGGTCCCAGTCCTTGTCCTCGAACTCGATGTCCGGCTTATCCGGCAGGGGCTCGTGCGTACGGTACACTTTCTCATAGCTATGCCGCTTTTTGCTAGCGGTGGTTGCGGTGCTAGTGTCGCTAACCGGCGAAATCGCTCTGTCGTACGGCTTCAACGGCACGCTCTGCCTCAACAATGTCGCGTCGTCGACGGCAGAGCTCGGCTCCGAATTACGCCACGACTTATCCGTGGTTTCGTTCGACTGGCTCTTTCGGATCATGAAAAAGGCGCCTGCGATACATCCGGTTATTGGTATTAACACGGCGCAAATAATACCCACAGTGGTCCACGCTGTGCGCTGGGTATACTCGACCTGACCTATGGTTGTGTAATACCAAACAGTTTTTTTTTTATTCTCCAGTCGGTAAGTCCGCCGGCCATGATGATGTCCCGATTAATTGGAAATTTTTTCGAGGTTCGGGGTGGTCGTTGGAAGAGTGCAAGGGATAGTACGATTGAAAATAGTCAGGGTAGCTATGTAGTGGTGAAGTCGAGAACTGTGGTAGTAGGTGTTTCGTGCATGATGATGATGATGGTGTGGCGATATACGCGGCTCAAAGTAATTCGTCGTTTAATGGGAGACCAGCTAACAGGCTTTTCGAGCTTGTCAATTCGTGTTAATATTTCGAACGTGTTAATATTAACAAATTTTCAAGCAGAATAACTTTTCTAAAATTTCTTCGAAGGGTTTGAATATTTTTGAGGTGTTAGACCGACCAGTTTTTTTCTTTGAAATGAGTATACAGAACATTTTTTAGATTGTAATTGAATGGAATGATTAAAAAATTAAGAAATGATGTTTTTTATACTTTTTTATGCGAGCCCATGACGATAATTTAATCACGGTAACTTATATGCATGCTGAAGATTAAATCAATTTTTAAATTTAAGATTAAATGAATTAAAGATCGCGAAAATCGCAGTTTTTCACGAATTTCAAGCAAAAACATTTTCACATCTTTCAGTGGCTGTAGCTTGACTATGCGTCGACCGATTTCAATGAAATTTTCAGCATTCTTATAAGTTACCATGATCTAGAAAATGTATTTTTCTTAAATTTTCGTATTAAATTTTCGCTCAGATAAAAATGTTTAAACAAAATTTATTTCAACGATTTTAAACCATTTTTTAATTCTTGTATCATTCCAATCAATTGCAATCTAAAAAGTTTTCTGTACACTCATTTCATAGAAAACTAATCGGTCCAACATCTAAAAAATATTCAAGTCCTTTGAACCAATTATAAAAAAGTTACCTCGTTTGAAAAGGCGTTGACGTACTTTCCGAGGCGACTGTACCTTGAGCAGCGTATCGAAAGTCTCATGCGATAGTATCTTGCTCGTCATCGAGTACAGTCAATTCTCCCTAGTTGACCCTCAGCTTGGAAACGAAAATGGACAATTTGGAAGGAGAAGAATACGATCATTCGAGCCTCGCGGCTCGTTTTCGTAGCCGCCGATTACCAACAAAGACAAAAACGAGCCGCGAGGCTCGAATAATCGTATCTCCTCTTCCCAGAATTGTCCATTTTCGTGGATACCAGCCGAGGGTCAATTAGGGAGAATTCACCGTAATTGTTCGGATACTTACGTAGACATTCCGTGTATCCGTATTCCGGCACGTTCCATCGTCCTTCCGGTGTGCAAGTTCGCCGTTGATCGCCCACCAGTATGAAGTCCTGGTTGCACTCGAAGGTCACCTTGGTGCCAGGCGTGAAGAAGAAGTTACTCTTGCGACCGAATCGAGGTGTCTCCAGTACACCGCACGAAATCACTGCAACCAAACCAGTGGAAAAAACCGGTCTCCGAATGAAATCGTTAAGCGATGAATCAACGTTTACGAATCTCTGAATAGCTTACCCGGATCCTCTAAGTTGGTGTACCTGATATGAGTATAAGTATCGTAGTAGTTCTTCGTGAAGTGCGCCAAATCTCTGTTCAACGACATCGCGTAGTCGTATTGACACTGGTACGAATCCGAGCAGATATCGTGGGCTGCTTGGACGTCGTACGACCTGTAAAAACGCGAGTTAATAATTAATATAATAATAATTAATAATTAATATTCCCCGAGTCATAATAATAATAATAATAATAATAATAATAATAATAATAATAATAATAGTAGTAGTAGTAGTAGTAGTAGTAGTAGTAGTAGTAGTAGTAATAATAATAGTAGTAATAATAATATTAATAGTAATAATAATAATAAAAATAGTAATAATAATAATATAATATAATATTTAATTAATATATAATAATTAATATATAATATTCCCCGAGTCACGATTTAACACTAAACCTACCGCGGTCAAAGTGACCGCATTCTTATTTTGCAATTCTGCAAAGTTCCGAGACTCTTTCTTTCGTGGAAAACGCATGAATAAGTTACATTATTGGAGCAAGTTTTCTAATAAAAACTTTACAAATTCCAAATAAATTCGGTCTTCTCACTTTCGTGAAGCAGTACATGCCGGTTAGTATTACTGCTTGGTAGGTTTAGCGTCAATTGTCGTTCGATACGATAGATCTTAGCCACCTGTTACTCGGCACGATCTCTTCGGGCATCTTCCGCCACTCGGGCTCGAAAGTTCTGTTCGCATAGAAACTCGCGGTTCTTCCGAACTCCCTGGTGAATAACGCGCCGCCAATCAAATCGTTCTCCTTGTCCTCCAGCATCCATTTCATCGCGAAATCTTTGTGCAGAGCCTCGAAATGATTCAGATTGCTCGCGGCCGATATTTGACCGTCCGGGCCCATAAGATCATCCGCCATATCGTTGTTCCATTTGCCGAAGAGTCCTTTGGTCTTGTTCTGAAATCGATCGAGGTATCCGAGATGATCTTCTCTGTATTTACGAGGACGGATAACTTATTGTTAACCCTTTGCACTCGAGTGGTGAATCTGAGGCACCACTGAAATTGTTACGCCACGTTCCAAGATAATTTTTATATTATCGCTTTATATTAATATTTATATTATAATATTTTATATTATATTTTATATTATTTTTATATTATATTTATATTATTATTATAATATTTATATTATATTATTTAGATTGCAAAAGTTGTTAAAAGTGTAACTGTTGTATGATTCACAAGACTCAATTTCATACGCATAAAATGCACTTTATCATATAAAATGGAATAATACTATAAGTCGGAGAAATTGTTTTAGATTTATAGTTAAAATGGCTTCGAGTGCAAAGGATTAATTAACCAGACTCTTAGTTAGCCAATCAAGGTGTTTAAGGAATCGAACAGCTTGAACCGTACCAAGTAAGTCCAAGGCAGGTAGACTCTAGCCGACATGAATCCCTCGTTTTCAACCACCTCGACGCCAGCACCGGTGTCGAACATGATGATCACTTCGCTCTGGTTCAAAGTGTACGTGGGCGTGTAGACGACTACGCCTGGGAAGTGCTGGAACTTCAGGGACGGTCTGTCGAAGTACACTCGCCGGTTGTCCGCGAAAACGTCCAGTCGATATCTCCACTGGGAGTGCTTGGGTCTCAAACGTACTTCGATGGGGACGGAATTGTTGCCCCTTGCTGTGGACCAAATCGAGAAATAATGTCACGGCTGAGGGGTAGTTCGGCAAAGTACAAAATTCTTGGTACATACGAGCCGTTTATTTTGGAAGTGGCCTAAGTCACTTTTTCAAAAAAATCGAGTTAATGGTAATACTAATTACAATTGAACGGTATCTCTTCATTTGAAAAAAGTGATTTGTGCCACTTCCAAAATAAACGGCTCATATATGTACACCCAATTATTTTTCGATTTCACTTTTGTGACCGGCGTTGGAAGATATCTTGATAGATATCTTCAGATCCCAAAGATCGTCTTCAATTTTAAGATTGGATAAGTACAGTAAGTTCTCTCCAATTGTCACTCGACATGTAAACAGAAATGGACAATTTGGGAACAGGAGATACGATTATTTGAAAATCGGTACAGTAATGTCTTCCTAACTGGCGCTCAAATTGTGCACAAAAATGGACAATTTGGGAAGAGGAGTCACGATTATTTGAGGACGACTATAAAAACGAGCCGCATGGTTATGTCAAGGTTATTGACAACTATAAAAACTAGCGGCGATGTCATGTCGAGGTTATTGACAACTATAAAAACTAGCAGCGAGATTATGTCAAGGTTACATCAAAGTTACGTCAAGGTTATTGACAACTATAAAAACGAGTAGCGAGGCTCGAATAATCGTGTCTGCTCTTCCCAAATTGTCCATTTCTGTTTAAATGTCGAATAACAATTGGAAATAATTCACTGTGCACCATTTATTTAACTAAAATAAACAATTAACACATAGCCAACCGAATAGGGAGATCTCCCCGTTTTAAATTCAGTCGATCGATAACCGAATGGATGATTAATGAAAAATTAAAAATATTGCTTAATTTTATTAAGATTTGCAAGAGGTACGAATGCTGAAGAAGCAATTGATGTCATATAAGTTTGCTTCGTAATTTTTGTTTAAATGAATAAATATTGAATAAATATATGAATAAATAATTATGAATAATTATGAATAAATAATTGAATAAATATCTCAATTTTATGAAAACTTTTGATGTTTCTAGCGCGGTCGTGAAAGTGTTAAGAAAAGATACATATTTTCTAAATCTACGAATCGAATATATTCAGCCCAGTCTTCGTCTTTCCGTCAATTACCTGCGATAGAGGTCAATTGCGTGGCTCTAACTTCTCCGTGCATGTTGTCCGGCAGTTGCTCGAACCTGCCCTGCACGTCGAGCTTGTCTTTCGTGTGATCTACCCTAGCCAGAACGAACTCTCCCTTTCCGTTGAAGGTGTACTCCAAGTTGTCGAACGTGACGATATGCGGGTCACCGAACACGGTAGCCACCGCCGGGGACTGATAAGCCACGCAGTCTTGCGTCGGCCGTCTCTCGAACCTGAATGTTTCGCAGCCGACCGAGTGTTCCTCTTGCCATATGCAGCACAAGTAGATCGGTATCACGTCGTGGTACCAGTGAGACAGGGTTGGAACCTTGTTGGCCTCGTCCCACGGATAGAATCCAAGATTGTGGGACCGATGCGGCCTCGAGCCCCATTGCTGATCGTAGGTCAGCATCAGGATTCCGTTTTTGTCGTAGCAGCACTGTTGCTCGGACCCATCCATGCTGCAATCGACATGGTATACACTAATTTCTCCCGGAAATGCCGTAATTCGGGGTGCTGTGAATTTCGCTGTGCTAGTTCCACGCTTATTGCAATTTATCGCTATCGTGGATGCTAAGGGGACACGGAAGACAATACAAAATGGTCAATAACGAGTGTGAATCAGGTGACAAAAACCGCAGAGCTATCAGGTATTATAAGGCTGACCGTCGAATCGTAGCATGTGGCCTCCGAATTGCCTTCGAATTGCCTTCTAATCGAGTCATAAGGCCTCCGAATTGCCTTCTAATCAAGTCACGAGGCCTCCGAATTGCCTTCGAATGGAGTCATAAGGCCTCCGAATTGCCTCCGAATTGTCTTCGAATTGCCTTCGAATTGCTTTCGAATTGCCTTCGAATTGTCTTCGAATTGTCTTCGAATTGCCTTCGAATTGTCTTCGAATTGCCTTCGAATTGCCTTCGAATTGCCTCCGAATTGCCTCCGAATTGCCTCCGAATTGCCTTCGAATTGCTTTCGAATTGTCTTCGAATTGCCTTCGAATTGCCTCCGAATCGTGTCAAATAGCCTCCAAATTGCCTTCGAATCGTGGCAGAAAGTCACAAATAAAAAAAATCGCTAATTTCGCTTACTTTGGCGCGCCGGTCCTCACGCAATGATGAGCGTGTTGATTAAGGATGCAGTCTAGATTCGAGTCCTTGTCGCAGTCGTAATCGGGAAGGAAGCGGCCCTTGTCGGTTAACGCGTGCTTCACGTCGCAAGGACACAGCGGTATCTCCGCAGCGAAATTCTTTAGGTATCTGTCGTTCATGATCCACTTGTTGCAAAGAGCTTGCGGCCATTTCGCTCCCATCGCGCGTTCCCATTGCGGCCCGAAGTACCAGCCCAACGGGATCGGTCTGCTCCACAGAACCCTGCGAAGAAATACAAAAATAATTCTACCGTCCCACGAATCGTAGCTTCTTAACCATTCATTACGTACGGCGAGATGTTGAGGCCAGTGTTCTGTTGCGGATCGGTTAAATTCAGCTGGATGAATCCGAAGGTCATGTCCTGTTGGTAGGGATTGTATCCGTCGCGGTATTTGGCTGGCGCGATGACGTAGGAACCCTCGTTCGTGTACGACGTCTAGAATTTCGTTGAGTTCGCGTTAATTGCAATATACAGTAATGTTTCCTTAATTGACGCTCAGATTGTCCAGAAGAATGGACAATTTAGGAAGAGGAGAGATACGATTATTCGAGCCTTGCAACTCTTTTTTATAATTGTTGACAATCGATAACCATAAAAAACGAGTCACGAGGCTCGAATAATTGTATCTCTCTTCTTCCTAAATTGTCCACAAAAATGGACAATTTTGGAAAAGGAGAGATACGATTATTGGAGCCTTGTAGCTCGTTTTTACAATTGTTGACACAATTTGTAACTATGAAAACGAACCGCAAAGCTAGAATTAATCGTATCCCTTTTCCAAAATTGTCCATTTTTGTGGACAATCTCAGCGTCAATTAGAGAGACATTACTGTAACTCTATGCCGCACAGATTCTTGATGGACCAACCTCTAAAGCAGTGATGTATTCGAACTCTGGAGTAGTTTTCGTCTCGCGGTATCCCCACAAAGATATCTGCACACCAGCGGCCAAGTTGCTGGTCAAATTGTACCGATCCCAGGTGATCTTGATCTCCGCGGGTTCGCGTTCGCGAACGTTGTTCGAGACGAAGATCTTCTCGGTCGCCGACGCCGGGGTTTCTGCAAAGCATCCGCAAACTTATCCACGAAAATTCTGTCGCGTTAATGCTATCAGCTCGCACGAGAATCGTTTAGTCGCATTACCGATGAAATATTTCCCCTTCCAGTCGTAGCCTTTGCTATCTCCGATGCTAATCGCGAACCGGATGTATCCCTGAGCCTTGACAAACGGTTGCACGCATATGGCTCGATTTCTATCGACCACGGTGCCTATCACCATCTCGGTTTCGAACATGCAACGAATCTTTTGTGTCTCGTTGAAACAGGGCCCGGTGATGTTCACGATGGTGCCGCCTAACATGTTTCCGCTTTCAGGAGCGAACACCAGTGGCAAGTTCGCTCCGGCTGTAACATACAAAATGGCTCAGTGTCCTTTGTCTTTATTTTTCTCTTTTTTAACCAGTTAAGTGTGTTCGATGACTACAGTCTGTCCCAAAAATGTCTCGCAATTCGGAATTGGCGAGTTCCTCGGATCATTTGAAGCAACTTTTTCCTTTACAAAAATGTTCTCCGAGGAACCGTTAACGAATTATCAACGAAAAACAGTGACCAATAAGAATCGAGTACGGCTGACGCGAGGCGGCCCAGCCAACCAGCGCACGAAGCCTAGTTCCTGTCTCTTATACACATCTAGATGTGTATAAGAGACAGGAACTAGGCTTCGTGCGCTGGTTGGCTGGGCCGCCTCGCGTCAGCCGTACTCGATTCTTATTGGTCACTGTTTTTCGTTAATAACTCGTTTACGGTGCCTCGGAGAACAGTTTTGTAGAGGAAAAAGTTGCTTCAAATGACCCAAGGAACCCGTCACTTTCGGATTGCGAGACATTTTTGGGACACCCTGTATATCCGTCATGGAGATGTGGCGGAATCTTGTGTCACGACGATTATATTCGTTGTTCGTAAAATTTCGTTGCAATTTGATATTTATAAGTTGTAATTCTGGCGAAAACTAAATGATATTCTTTTAATTTTAATATATTCAAAATGTTTAGAGATCAAGACGAAATGAAGCAAACAAATGAAAATTATAAATAATTTCAGTTGGATTCATAACTTCCTGAGAGCTAACTCGTAAGTGGTAGTGTGCGACACACACACCTGGTGGGCGCTTTGCAAAGAGATCGCCACAGTTAACTGATCACTTTACCGATATCCTTGTTGCAAGTTCCGAGCATGATCTTCTCATCTATCCTGAACATGTGCCGTCCAGGGAAATCATTTGCCCACCCTCTGCCTGTTAGATCGCGAAGCGTCGACATCTGGGAGTAGGGTTTGTATTCGTAGCTTTGGGTGCCGTTGCCGGCGTTGAAGCCGACCTAAAATAAATCGATGTAAGATCGAAAAAAGCGAACGCTCGGAGCGGATTCGTAGCGAAGGCTATGAGCTACTCGGGTGATTTCAATGCGCGGTGCGAGCAGCCCCGTCAGACTCGAAGAGCCAAGATGCTGATCACTGTTACCTGATGAAAATCTATTTTCTATGAATCTATTTTCTACGTTCTTGACACGTCGTAGATTTTAAAATTGATCTTCCCAGCGATACCATAGTTTATACCATAGTTTATAAACAGTGCAACGACTGCGTTGCACTTAAAAGAAGCTCGGTCATTTTCCTGTAAACCGTGATCTCGGAAGAGATTATTAGATCATATTACTCGAGATTAGCTTATTGAATGACGAACGAGACTGCTGTCGCTATCGAGCGATTCATTGCAGTTTACAATTATTTATCTTCGATTCGTAATATGTTATTAAACAACTGCCGACGAGCAAAGTGTCTTACGAAAGCCGGAACGCCGCCTTCTCCGGAGGTGGTATCACCACCAGCCTCTGTGTGACTGGTCCACTGAAAGTTCAGGTAGTTGAACATCGCGTAAGTGGACACTTCGTCCGTAGCGAGGACCATTTGGAAGGTGTTCGTTTTGAAAAGGGAGGTATCGATTCCGCCGGCGAAAGACATGTTCTTCCAAGTGATTATGACAGCGTGTTTCGGGTCGAAAGATTCGGAACCGACGATTCCCTCGCGGATGTCCCACTTCACGCGTTCCCGCATCTCCACGCCGAATTGGTCTTTCCTCGATTGCAGGTCCCTTTCGAGCCTGAAACGATTCAGTTGCTACTACGCTGTTCAAATCCCTGATCTGTTCAACCTCGCGATCACGAGGTTTCGTGCAGCGTACCTGAAGTAGACGCCCGGCGTTCGTTTGTCTAGGTCTTCTTTCCTTATCTCGCCTATGCGACATTTGCTGAAGAATATTCCTATGAAACTGGGATCGTTCTTCTTCGGCCAGTCTTGTATGGGGAACTTGAGTGGATACGTGTAGTAGCCTGGCGGGTCGCTGAATTCTAGGTAACCGTTCATAGACACCTAGAAGCATTGAACAATGATTTAGGAATCCTCGAAGATGAATCTAGCCACGGGGAATTCTCTCCAATTGTCCCTCGGCTTGGAAACGAAAATGGACAATTTGGAAAGAGAAGAATACGATAATTCGAGCCTCGCGGCTCGTTTTCGTACCTACCGATTATCAACAAAGACAAAAACGAGCCCCGCGAGGCTCGAATAATCGTGTCTCCTCTTCTGAAATCGTCCGCTTTGGTTCGCAAGCTGCGGGACAATTGGAGAGAATTTAACCGTGTTGCACAATTCTGCCCGGCTGTATTTTTCGATCGTGTTTTCGAAAGCCACCTTTTTATTGCACTCAATTGTACGGCTAATCGGTTCATCGTAGTCCAATGTTTCATTCAATTTGTTCGCCGAAGGTGACGAGTCGACGCGTCATTGGACTATTTCTGAAGCGCGTGGGATCAGTTATCACGTTACGTTTTATCAACGGCATGATTGGGATATCTTTCGATACCTCAATATCTCCTCAATTCTAAACGAAACATTATGATCGGCAACAAATATTGAAAATACCGACGCAAACGTATGCATTTAGTTCAGATGAACGTTAATTACAGGAATATTATCTCCTTATTACGATAAATTATATTTCCATCGCTTTCGTTATGCATTCTTGCAGTAAGAACGAAAACAAACGTTAAATATTCTCTAAGTAAATTGTTGGAAAGCATTTTTAAGTCATGTATCGTATAAGATGCAAGTACAGTAATATCTCTCTAATCGACGCTCAGATTGTCCACAAAAATGACCAATTTGAGAAGAAGGAATACGATTATTCGAGCCTTGCGGTTCGTTTTTATAGTTACAAAGTGTCAACAATTATGAAAGCGAGATGCAAGGCTTGAATAATCGTACGATTAATTAATAATTATTATTCTATATATAATATTATCTATATATAATATTATTATATATCATAGTATTATTATTATCGTATTATTAATAATTATCAATAATACGATTGTTCGAGCCTTGTGGCTCGTTTTCTATGGTTATCTCTTGTCAACAATTATAAAAACGAGCCGCGAGGCTCGAATAATCGTATCTCCTCTTCCCAAATTGTCCACAAAAATGGATAATTTTGGAAAAGAATTGTTCGAGCCTTGCGATTCGTTTTTATAGTTACGAATTATCAACAACTATAAAAAAAGAGCTGCAAGACTCGAATAATCGTATCTCCTCTCCCCAATTGTCCATTTCCGTGCCACACTCACGAGTTAACTCGTCTTCAATTTCTCTAAAGTACACTGAATGTCTTTGGATAGATGAACTACCCGGGTGAAGCAGTTAAACAAGTAGATTCGCATGATCTAATCGGACAGAATCGACGGAATGGTGAATTCGCGTAAAGCGATATCGTTTATCGACGTACTCTGGTGTAATTGAATCGGAATCCAAAGAACGGCAGCTGGAAGTTGAAGTTCTTGTGCACTTGAGGCGTCGACACCTGGATCTCTTTCTGATAATCGCCTATACCGTTGTCGCCGCCTTTGTCGAAGTACCAATACATGAACTTCGACCGGATGTCCTTCAACCGTTGCTCGGTTAACAGATAGTCCTGAACCGAGTCGGACGAACGGGGCGCGTACCTTTCCGCATCCGGTAAATCCGAATCTACGGGAATTGTTACACGCCTCGTGAATTTCGACCTACATCGATATCCATCGTTTTAACATCGATGGTATAGAGACCGCGTGCTACACAACGCCCTAAGCGTTACAATGCTCGCGTGAACGAACAAACATGGGAATCGTGAACTTATTGTGACTCGACTCGACACGAGCGCACAATCGCCGGAGCGCTTCGCACAAATTGTTTCAGGGGATATTTCGGGTTTACAGAAGCTCGCGGTGTCGAGGGTCTATCGAACATTAACAACATAAGCGTCGCGCGTGTGTGCCGCGGTTCTAGGCGCGATGATAATAAAAAAGACAACAATGATTTACTAAGTACTCGTTACGAAAGCGTTCAACTTCGGATATATCTAGTGATTCATGAGCGATTCACGTTGGAGTGAGTAACTGATAAAACAGATAAGATCTGATTTCGTGTGCCGGAGATGCGTGACAAATAACGTTGCCGTGCGACGTGTGCGATCCGCGAAACCACAGGTCCACGTGAAAAAGAAAGGGCCGACAGGAGCGGCGGCCACTTTCTTGGGTGAAAAGAGGAAACGAGAACTTGTGAGACACACAACAAACCTCGGGGAAATCCTAAACGATGAAGCGAAACATAGAGAATAGCGGTCACGCCCAATTGATATCGGAACACTCACCGTATCTCACATACTTTCCGCTTTTTTCTCCGATCGCTCTACCGGATATACCTTCAGTTAACGTGACTTGTTCCTTCGGCTCCGTTTCGGAGACCACTTGCGGGCTCATGGGACCGTTCCCATCGTAGATCTCGGTCTGCTTGGGGTCGTCGACATCGTTCAGGTCCTCCACTTCCCTATTCTCCACAACCGGTACGCCTTCCACGGCCGATTCCTCGTTATTATGGTCGGCCACGTCTTCGGGCGTCAATCTGTACGCGCTCTCGAACGTTTGGTCATCGTTTTGCGCGGATATGCCGGCCGCCAGGAACAGCAAACAGCACCCGAGGATGCTCCGTTTTGCGAAAACGGGAACGCGGCCACGCTCGTTCCGCATTTTTGATTACCTCCCTGGGTAGATGAACCGTTTTGTCTAGTATGCCCAAAGACACTGAGCCGCGCTTCAGGTAACGAATCCTGATAACGGCGCCTGATATCAGTTATATTACGATAACGAGCGTTTATCTCTTTACTAAAGGTGGATAAGCTAACATGGAGACTGAAACGAACGAAATCGACGAAGGGACGGTGGCCTACTTTTACAAAGGGCGTCGTGGGTCGACGCCCTTTAGACAGCCTCGGGTGCTCGAATCGGCACGTTGCATTCATTGTTATGATCGTGGTTCGGATTTCTAGCTTGCGATTCATAGTAAATATTTCGCGCGCGACATCGTGATCAGCGACGATTTATTACTCGATTGTAGTTAAGTAAGGAAGAACAGTCCTCGGCGACGGTGATCCATGAATCATCCGGTGCGACCTAATCTACAGGATGTCCCAAAAATGTCTCGCAATACGGAAATGGCGGGTTCCTCGGATCATTTGAAGCAACTTTTTCCTTTGCAAGAATTTTCTTCGAGGCACCGTTAACGAGTTATTAACGAAAAACAGTGGCCAATAAGAATCGAGCACGGCTGACGCGAGGCGGCCCGGCCAACCAGCGCGCGAAGCCCAGTTCCGCTCATTGACTCGGTCGCCTCTCATTGGTTACCGTTTTTCGTTAATAACTCGTTAACGGTGCCTCGGAGAACATTTTTGTAAAGGAAGAAGTTGCTTCGAATGACCTGAGGANTCACATACTTTCCGCTTTTTTCTCCGATCGCTCTACCGGATATACCTTCAGTTAACGTGACTTGTTCCTTCGGCTCCGTTTCGGAGACCACTTGCGGGCTCATGGGACCGTTCCCATCGTAGATCTCGGTCTGCTTGGGGTCGTCGACATCGTTCAGGTCCTCCACTTCCCTATTCTCCACAACCGGTACGCCTTCCACGGCCGATTCCTCGTTATTATGGTCGGCCACGTCTTCGGGCGTCAATCTGTACGCGCTCTCGAACGTTTGGTCATCGTTTTGCGCGGATATGCCGGCCGCCAGGAACAGCAAACAGCACCCGAGGATGCTCCGTTTTGCGAAAACGGGAACGCGGCCACGCTCGTTCCGCATTTTTGATTACCTCCCTGGGTAGATGAACCGTTTTGTCTAGTATGCCCAAAGACACTGAGCCGCGCTTCAGGTAACGAATCCTGATAACGGCGCCTGATATCAGTTATATTACGATAACGAGCGTTTATCTCTTTACTAAAGGTGGATAAGCTAACATGGAGACTGAAACGAACGAAATCGACGAAGGGACGGTGGCCTACTTTTACAAAGGGCGTCGTGGGTCGACGCCCTTTAGACAGCCTCGGGTGCTCGAATCGGCACGTTGCATTCATTGTTATGATCGTGGTTCGGATTTCTAGCTTGCGATTCATAGTAAATATTTCGCGCGCGACATCGTGATCAGCGACGATTTATTACTCGATTGTAGTTAAGTAAGGAAGAACAGTCCTCGGCGACGGTGATCCATGAATCATCCGGTGCGACCTAATCTACAGGATGTCCCAAAAATGTCTCGCAATACGGAAATGGCGGGTTCCTCGGATCATTTGAAGCAACTTTTTCCTTTGCAAGAATTTTCTTCGAGGCACCGTTAACGAGTTATTAACGAAAAACAGTGGCCAATAAGAATCGAGCACGGCTGACGCGAGGCGGCCCGGCCAACCAGCGCGCGAAGCCCAGTTCCGCTCATTGACTCGGTCGCCTCTCATTGGTTACCGTTTTTCGTTAATAACTCGTTAACGGTGCCTCGGAGAACATTTTTGTAAAGGAAGAAGTTGCTTCGAATGACCTGAGGAACCCGCCACTTTCGAATTGCGAGACATTTTTGGGACACTCTGTATATTAAAACGAATCCTGATTTTCCTATCTCGGACCAGACATACTCAGTTTTACATTTCCAATCGATCATTTTTGGGAGCATCCAAAGGATTCGTTTCATAGAGATGCAAATCTTTCCACCGATTTCTAAACCGATTATTAATAATCTATGCTGATATGCTAATTCTAAATCTCACCTCCCATTCTTCAAATGCGATTCAAATAAATCGTTCCCTGGTTACAAATTTAATAACGTCGAATTAATAACGTTGTACCTGCGTGCATGTATTTAGCACATGGTCCACCTTGTTCCGACGAATCTGATTCAACGTCGACGCTTACTTACCTGAATATTGTAGATTTTCTTTCATGTACTTATGATATGAATCGGTAAAATTGCTCTGTTGCAGTTGGAAGTGCGAATCAAACAAAGCGGAATGCAGTGATTTTGGTGAGAAACCTCGACGACGGAGCTCTGCGTACAGTGCGACCTGATCAATTTGGAGCATGATGGAGCATTCCACAGATCGTACCTGGCAGCAATGACGGACAAAGTTTCGGTTTGAGTAAATTGTTTATTGTATTTCTGGAACGTTGTGTTATTTACAAAAGAAATGCGGTTTGCGTGATTGCGTTCAGGGCGCAGCAAAAGGCTGCCTTTGCCGTCAGCCTGATGGATAATGCTCGTTACAATAAAACGTACGTATTATGTATAGGTGGGAGGGGGGGAGCCACGCCGTGGAAAATAATTTTAGCAGCTATGCCCGACTATATTTAGTCTTCTATGGAGATAACGGAATCGTTCGAGTGGGGCATTCGATCGTAGAGAAACTGATAGGATGATTATGGTCTTGTTCTGCGACGGGTTCGATATCTTGTTCGCTAGGTCTAAGGCTGGCGAGAAGCGTAATTTCGACGGATATTTATTAAAATGCTAAATATATAAGAAACCGTTCGGGCTTAAGATTTACTGATCTATAAATGCACTGTATGATAAATGTACATATGAACACTGATAGATGTACCGGGACAATGCAACCTTGAATTTTCTTCCTCCAGCCACTCTTCTTCTAATGCTCTTGGCGATCCTCTCTCTATCTCGTCGTTTTTTAGAGATTTTCTTTTGTTTTGAAAAGTCTTAAAATTAGTATTTTTCCACGCTTGCATTTTTTTTTTCTTTGCTTTGTACTGCGATCTTATATTTCTTTGTTCTTTTTCTTCTTTTTTTTTTATACCAATATTGTCACAAATGTTTGTAAAGAAACTATCTTACATATTTCACGTTGCACATTATCGTAAATAGTTTTATTTAATTAGCATGTATCACAGAAGAAACCTACGAAAGACTTAAAAATTCGAGGATATATAAAAAAAAAAATGCACGAATACGAAAAAAATTCTCCTGTAGCTCTCGTTTCTGTTCTTTTTTGTTTTGTTTTTTTCTTTTCTTTTCATCGATCAGCGACGACTGTGATCTACAACAGTGATTCCGTTATGTCGTGGATATAAACCATACGCTTGATCATTAAGTGAAACATTATTTATAACATTTTATTTGTAATGAAATAATCTGATCCGACTGAGGCGTGATAGTTCGTTTTGTTTTTTTTTTCTTTTTCCGTTAACATTACGAAGACGAAGAGTTATCTCCATTACTGTCTAGATATCCTCCCGAACCGTTCACAACAAATGATGTTCCCAATCCGTATAAATGACCACAATATTTCGCATCGTCAATGTTGTCCTCGAAGAACATCTGAAACATAAATATTTACGGTTCAGCGCGTGGAAACGACGTTACGTAACGCGGTTCTATCGTTCACCGAAGGTTTCTCTCGCTTACCTCTCGCATTTTAAAGAAAACCATTCCTGTGAGTAACGAATCAGATCCAGCTTGATGTTGCGGTCCCACTCTTTGTATTTCAAGTTGCTCTGCAACCTCTTGAAGTCCTCCTTTCAGATTTTTGCAAGATTTCATTAAGTACTGAGTGCAAACATTATTCTCATTAGTATTACGAAACAGCGTTCTCTCCGTTACAAGACGATCAACAATCGGAGCTTACTTTTACATCGTATATCGTTGGAAAATATATCCTAAGGAGCTCAAAGAATTCACTTTCTTCTTGCGGTAAATGTTGGTATGTAAGAAGCTTCAGTAGGTAACCGAAATCATAGCCAGAATGAAACGATAGCCATTTTATGTCATCGACAAGGACAATTCCCGATGTCATTAATAGTTCAGCGAAATCTAGTGGATCTATACCCTCCTCCTCGTGTTTTTTGAATTGAATACCACTGTTTTGTAGCATGTCTATACTGTCCTGTGCATACATGTCCTCCCTAGAACAAATGTTATATCAATCTTTTCATCCCCTGTTAGAATTTACTTTGTTAGAAATACTCCGTATCAATCGTTCAAAGCTTACTGTAAATTAAATTTGAAATTAAACTGCCACGTCGTATAACTACCCCCAGGTGTATTCCCCGATTCATCGAGAAACGTAAGACCCAATTGTATTATCCGCAAGAGGTCTACATTACACCGTAACAATTGGTACTGAAAATCGGCACTAGTTCTGAATTCACCTGGAAAATAAAAGATACACTTTGTAAGCTATGATTTTAGTCGAGGAGAAGATATTTGAAAATTAAAAGAATTGTAATCGTACCAATAGGTCTAGCTACTACTCCAGGAAATTCAGTATCCATAGCGATGTACTGATATTGTTGTACGACTTGCCGAATTGTTCGGAACTCTTCTTCCAGATTGTGGCCCCATACATCTCGGATCCCACATTCTTCATTACTGGGCATAGTCGCCCCACCCTTCTGCTGCCCTATAGGGTTGTTTCCTCCTAAAAAATTAATTGCCGGTCAATGTCGTTCCATACGCGGTAACAATATTATTTAGAGTCTCTTATTAGTTTTGCTATATGTAGTTGATCTTGCGAAACAAAGATGTGCGGATATCTAGCAATTACAAAGACAGTATTTATTTAAAAGTGTTCTAAGTTCGATATTTTGCCATCTACTTTTTAAATCTAGCTATAAATCGTGCTGAGTATTATTTAATTGCAATGATGTATGAAATTAATTATCATCTTACAGAGCCTATAGAAAATGGCTCATACAACTGCACCTTCGAAAATCTGTGCACTCTTCTGAAACTCTTTGAAAGTGGACACCTTTTCTTGCAGCAACAGGGATTGTATATTTCTTAAGAACTTCATCGCATACTTTAATTCTACTATTCTTAAAGCGAACTTCAATTATGTTGCTCTTCTGTACAGATAGCTCGTGTAATTTCGTCCACACGAATCCGAAGTATCTATTCTATTGTGCCTCGCAATTCCTGCAATAACGTATGTGCCATGTTTTTGTTATTCGAGAATATGTTTTTCTATTTCATCTTCAGTATTCTTCCTACAACTGAAGCATTATTCGACTTGATTAAATTAGAGGTGAGAGCGTATTCCTTAAAATTTAATCCTTCGTAAACTCTTACGTCCTCCGTCGACACAAGTTGCAAGCTAACTATGCGTTGTAACGGCTCGTACGACAAATGGTAACAGAAGTGAAGAAGACAGTAATACATATGTATTTATGAGAAGTTTCATACGCACCGGTAGCTGAGGGCATAAGGTTAGATATTCCTGTCGTCACCGGGGCTATTTTTATGTTTGATTCCCACCGTCACAGCTTTACCCTCTTCATATCACTGTAGACATATTCGCATATACGTTATCATTAGTCAAACAACTTTTATTGCATAATGCACGTACACAACATTACTGACATAATTTGTACATGCTGTGTACACGTCGATTCGACGGGCAGCTTACTAATTTAACTCCAACAGTTGCCAAATAAACACTACAATTTGAAGGTTAGGACTCCGTGCAAACAGGTATCACTTGTCATAGCGTATATACGATAAGCGGAATTTAACGAACGTAAAGTTAACATGAAACACGATCGGCCGGAGTTATTGAACGAGCAGGGACCGTTCTGCCGGGCTTTTAACATCGAAATGAGACCGTTCGTTCGGGAAATAGGTTATGTACTTCGGATAAACAAAAACGATTTGTTCACGTGAATATGAAAGAAATGAGTGTCGTGGTGTACCTCTCTGTGTGCTCGTTTTTCCGCACGATGTTTTACAATGTATCACGAGAAACACTGGTTTCTAAAACACTTATCGCGCTTTTAAATCTTCTGTCACTACACGAACAGGTTAAACGAGTTTCCAAACTCAACGCAACGATTCCCTCTATCAGAGAGGATACCCTCTATATAACACCTAAAGTTAGGGCGCCAAAATCGCTAGAGTGGTTTTCTTTATAGTCCGTGGCGTTGCCAAGATGTTCGTTCGGAAATCGACTCCTGGAAAATTGCAGAGGGCGCGACCGGTATTGTCCTAAATCAATTATCATCCGAGTCGAGCGTCGAACTCGTCGTTTTCGAAGGTTCCCAATGTTGCCGGTCTAACGATTCGAAGCGCGGTGCGCCAAATTTGACCGCTCAATTATAAAAGTCTGCGCCTTTGTACTTTGAGTGAGCAATTATCAATCGCTATCGATGAGAGTGTTCAAATTAGAGATGGTTTTTAATCATCTAATCGTAATTTATCTGTCTGCTGATACACGATAGAATGCTCGCTGTTGCAAAAACAGTTGCGATTGTTTCGAATAATATTTGTTGACGAAACGAATGGAAAGTTTATGCAATTTTCACTTGGGAATCGTTGAAAATATATATTTGCTGACAAATATATTTAATTTATTTATATATATATATTAAATTAATAAAATAATAAATTATAATATTATAATTATAATATTAAAAATAATATAATAATACAATAAATAATATAATATAATATTATAATAAATTATATATATTAAATTTATTTATATGTATGTTATAACAAAATGTACAGTTTTCGAGTCGTTTGTACAGACTCTGGATTTTATTATTGCAAAATTGAGTGGTATCCGAAACAGTAAAAACGTTAAAAAAAAATATAATAAAACGTTAAAAGAATAAAATTTCAGAATACCTCCGAGCCCTGTTTCTTTCAGAATTTTATTTTATGTAAATTTCGTGTGAAATCGATTAACGTACGGTTAAGATACGAATTGATTAAGATACAAATGAACTTTCGATTTCCGAAGTGTTGTTTGTCGTCGATTATCATCATACAACAAGATCGGCCAGATTCGATCAGCAAGATTCGTGATTTCAACGCTTCCAGATGACTCAATCGAACGACAAAATTCATTTACTATATTTTCGCTAGCACACACAAATACATACATACACAATATACACATGGCTGCACAGAGTTCAATGGCAAAATTTCCTGCCAGCGATGTATATGTTTATATTTTATCATGTCAAACGTCTGACATGCAATTCATTGTTAGCAACGACGAACTACTATTTCATCGTTTTGTGAAAGCCAGCAGTTTCTTTGTATTAGTGGGACAGATAAAAAAAATAGCTTATCTGCTGACTCAATGTCATTAAACGCCACGGTCATAGCGTTCCACGTATATAATCAGTGGCAAAAGTTTCACGTGGCGATCGCAATACCATCAAACGGTCTCTCACGGTTGATCGTGGTGTCGTTTGTCGTTTGTGCTCGGTTCTGTTTCGATTTAATCGGTTCGGAGAGCAAATATCGGCCAGAGATAATGGTATTAAAGTTCTCTATCGTTCGTTCATCTTCGTGAAGATTGCTTATCGTAACGTGGGGGGATACACGTATAAATGCGAAGGAACGGCTTGTGCCAGTGTATAGTTGACCAAGTTGCAATACAAAGAACGCGTTGCAAAATGAACGGAAAAATCGTCGCTTTCTTCTTTATCGTTGTCTGCTGCGCGGCGTTGCAAGCCTCCGCCAACATTGGACCACGTATGTAGCTTCATTGTCTCGGGTCGATCGACATATTGAAATAATTGCATTTTTTGAAATTGACTGTCCTTAGTTCGTTAAGAATAACACGATTTCTAACAGTGAATTGGTAGATTATTATTAGTAGACCGCGGATTCTTATCGCAAAATAAAAACTGTCCGCGTTAATTGCAAATTGCAGGGACTGTATATATATATTCTATTTTTTTTTTAAATAATTTTAACGAGGAGAATTTGACAGTATCATGTTTGTTGTGTTTTATGTATTATGTTTAACAGTATTTAACAGTATTGGAATTATCCATTCCTCTCGCAACTATTTATTATTAGACTGGTCAATGGTGCATCGAGCTTCATTTTATCTCTAAACCTTTCGTGGCGATCAAAATGACCTGTTATATTATATTTTTTATTTAATAATCGTTGGTATTATAGAGACGTTTTCGTAGGAAAATATTAAATAAATTTCTAATGTCACAATTGCACGTTATGAAAAAAGGCAAGAAGTTCAATTATATATGATATCATACAGTATATAATATAATACAATAATATATAATAATACAATACAATAGAATACAATAATATATAATAATACAATACAATATAATACAATAGAATACAATATAATATATATGATATAATAAAATACTTGTAAAGCATTAAAAATCATCGTGCATAGAAGTAGCAAATCTCCGTTAAAATCACTATAAAAAAGTTCACTAACAAATTTTCTTTAGCGAAATTAGCAGTGTAATATTTTTCGGGTTGCGAGCACGGCCTTCGACGGTGAATTGTCGCCGATACATAGATTATAGCAGAACGACATTTTAGCATAGCGAGCGAACAAATCTATCAAACAAAATACAATTTCGCGTCCGTCTGCAATAATCCCGCCGATTCGATCGACACCGTTTTTCTCGCCTATTCTTACAATAACGATCACGAATTCATTTCTAGAATGTCTTCTGCCGTTGGAGCGTGGTCCCTGCAGAGCGCACATACTGAGGTACGGCTACAACCCCGAAACGCATCGCTGTGAGCAGTTCGTCTACGGAGGATGCAACGCGAACCAGAACAATTACGCGAGCATCGACATGTGCCGAATGTACTGCGCGTGAAACCGAGCGAACTCTGCATCAGAGTTCGCTTAAACGAACGCTACACGTAACTAAATTCTTGGAGCATTTTGCCGTCGTGCATCGCGCGCGTGCAACAACCGTCCGCGGTGCACGCGGCGCGTGCGACGAGAGGAAACTGCCGTAGCTCTCCGCTGCTACGATTGTTAAAATAAAAACCGTATCGGATGTTGCAATAACAATTTTGTTTTCCCTCCAAGCTCCAGATACGAATCGACCTGTATATCTTATTGTTCGGATTTCCAAACGTTTACGTCAGGCGACGTCGGAACGACGCCGATGACCGTCGCGATAGCCGAACGCGGTTGGTTAAGGAAAACATCGATTAGGCTGGATAAAGAGCCTACGATTAGTATCGATCGCTGTAATGCCCAAGGGATCGCAGCGAACGTGTTATTATAGCACAGGGTAGCTAGGATCAACGGATTATCAATTAGGTGAAATGTGTGTCAAGGGTTCGTTGAAAGCGATTTCGATTTAATCCTGCAACTTTGCTCTTCGTTATCTCTGCGATTACAGTAATGTCTCCCTAACTGACGCTTAGATTAGATTAAAATTGTCCACAAAAATGGACAATTTTCCGGATCGTTTTTAGAGTTACCGATCGTCAAGAGCTATAAAAACGAGCCGCAGGGCTCGAATAATGGTAATCTCCTCGTCCCAAATTGTCCATTTTCGTGCGCAATCCGAGCGTCAATTAGGGAGACATCACTGTAGTTTCTCGAATTCATCTCGCTTATCAAAGATATACCTGTACAACAATCTTATGCTATCCACTGGTCCAATCGATTTGTTATTACAATAACAGAATTTCGTTTTCTCATAAACCTCGTAAATAAAGCAAATTGATAATTATAGCGAACAGTAATTATTAATAGCGAACATCGTTAGATTACACAAGTTGCTACAAGTTCGCTGTGTAAATTATTTTCTGCAGAATTTCTTGGTAGCCCAACACTGTTCGAATAATTATGAGCAGCACCGTGTCCCCTAATTCGGGAATCAAGTAGGACGTGAACCGCGAACAGGGGTGGACAAGCAGGATAAATTGCGCCGTTGCCAAAATCGGTTCCTGTGGTCAAGGTACAGACGTTGGCTTGACACGCCGGCCGCAAGGATGCTTTCTCTCGGCCCTTGTTTAACCAGTGGACCAGCTGATCCACGTAACTAGTTCGTTATCTAATGACGTTAATAAATATAAAACTGCCTCGAATATAACGTTCGAATGTTCGAATCCGTAATAATATGCATAATTAAAAACGAGCCGCAAGGCTCGAGTAATCGTGTCTCTTCTTCCCAAATTGTCCATTTCTGTTTACCTGTCGAGTGAGAATTGGAGAGTATTTAGGATATACACTACAAGGAAGTTGAATGATTTGACGTGTTCCTCGCAGTATACTAAATTCTCCCTAATTGACCCTCTTATTACAGTAATTTCTCCCTAATTCGCGCTCGGATTGCGCACAAAAGTCGACATTTTGGGAAGAGGAGAGACGATTCTCACCTTGTACCTCGTTTTCATGGTCGTCGACAATCGATGACGATAAAAGCGAGCTGCAAAACTCGAATAATCGAGTCTCTTCTTCCCAAATTGTCCATTTCTGTTTACCTGTCGAGTGACAATTGGAGAGTATTTAGGATATACACTACAAGAAAGTTGAATGATTTGACGTGTTCCTCGCAGTACACTAAATTCTCCCTAATTGACCCTCTTATTACAGTAATTTCTCCCTAATTCGCGCTCAGATTGCGCACAAAAGTCGACAATTTGGGAAGAGGAGACACTCACACACACATTCTCGCCTTGTACCTCGTTTTCATAGTCGTCGACAATCAGTGACTATAAATCTATATCTTCTTCCCAAATTGTCCATTTCTGTTTACATGTCGAGTGACAATTGGAGAGTATTTAGGATATACACTACAAGAAAATTGAATGATTAGATCTGTTCCTCGCAGTACACTAAGTTCTCCCTAATTGACCCTCTTATTACAGTAATTTCTCCCTAATTCGCGCTCAGATTGCGCACAAAAATCGACAATTTGGGAAGAGGAGACACTCGCACACTCATTCTCACCTTGTACCTCGTTTCAATTTCGTTCTGTCGAACGTGTGCCACGTGACCCAATAGATGACTCACTAAATATCTAAATAATCACCGAGTATTGCGACATGTACCGGCAGCTTACGATTAACATGCGGCAGATAACGGCGAGTTCCGGAAATCGTTGCTCGAAATACATTATACATAAACCGTCGATATTACAACGACCGTAGATACA